ATTATTAAAATTTTAAAGCGGGGGAGGTATTTCGGAAGTATTTGGGGGTGGGGGGGGGCGTATATGGGGAGGTATTTTAAGAATAATTAATATCCTTATCAAAGTTATCATATAAAAAATTTTTCAGCAAAAGACTGGAGTAATTTTCTGTAAATTCCCAAAACATTTAAGTAAACATATTTCTTAATTAGCTATTAATATATTTAAAAAAATACATTAATGTAACCTTTATAAAAAATATTAATAAACTTTAGGTCCCCCAAGAAATCGCTACGAATTAGCAGATGGTTATTTACATTTTATTTATTATTTTCTAGTTTCCAAGAATTATTATATTTTTTCATAAAGTTTTTTTTTCTAATTTTTTATACAATTTTTATTTAAAAATATTATTTTCTTTTTATTTCTTACGCCAAAAAAATTTATTTTTTTTATTTATTTATTGAATTATTTGTTTTACATATATTCCTTTCCGAAACAGATCTCATTAAAGATTAAAATTTAAGATATAATAATTTATTTAGCAAAATAAAATCCTGTTATTGAATAAATCCAGAATATATTTTTTAGCTAAATAATTAATTTATTTGGTTAATTAATTAATTATTAATTTAATCATAAAAATAGTTCCAATATAAAATATTTAATTAAAAATAATGTAGAATGTCTGTTGGCTTAGGTACCTCTAGTGGAGTTGCCAAAAATTTATGGCCTTCCTGGGAGGCTATTTCCCTTTCAAATCTGATACTTAATTATACCGATAATTTGATTTGGAGTTTATTTTTGACATCTACAGGTATTTAAATAATTATTTAAATTTAATCAAAATATATTTTAGCTATTCATGCTATTTTGCTAATAACCAGTCCAGTGTAAAAAATATTTTTTATAAAACTTTAAAATTAAAATAGTCAGGCATTGTTTAAATGGTATAGACGACAAAGCAGTGATGGAGATACACCCATTCCTTATCTGGTATTTCTAGTTAATATTAAATTAATTTGATTAAATTAGGGTATATAAAAAATTGTTTATATGTATTTACTAGAGTTAGAACTTTTCAATTTGCCGGGCCCGATACCTGGGTTTTTTCTACAACGTTGACCCGGGCCGTTTTTCCGGGCTAAAACCTCGAAAACCCGGAGAACCTGAATTTATCAAAATACCGGGCCCGAAAACCCTGTCCCTGGCCCGGATCGGGTTCTAACTTTAATATTTAGTGTGCCGTTCTGGGATCTCTTCTTTGGTTCCGCTACTCAATTTTTATTAAAGACCTCAAATTAATATTACTTCAGGTTAAATTATCTCATTTTCATAAAAATTATTTTCTTTCTAATTAGGGCTATGCAGTTTTTATGCAAACATTCTTTCTATTAGCTTTGCTATATTATCGAAAGAAAAAAGTTTTTAATAAAAAAATAATTAAATTATATAAATATTTAATTAACAGCACAGACTTCTTCGTTTAATTTTAGCAATTTTTGTAATTGTTGGTAATTTTTTTAAATATGTTTAAAAAAATATTATTTTTAAATTTAAGCCTCCCTATTTATTATTATTTATCATCTTCCTCCGGATCTTGGAAGGGAGGTTTGGAAAATTCGAAATAATTACTGACTATGTATATCCTATAAAATTTTAGATAACTGGGATTTGTGCAAGTGCTGCCCAAATTATTGGTTCCTTTGTTTGTCCTTATTTAATTGTTTGTTCTCTAATTTGAAAAAATTAATTTTCTTTAAAGTATAAAGCGATCTCAAGAAAGTTTATCGACTTTATTCCTTTTGCACCTGTTGCCTTTACTTGGTGGGTTTTAGCGTTTAAAAATTAAAATATTAAGTAAGGATTTTAGTAAAAATAAATCCTTTACGAATTGCAAAAAATTGTAGGTCCCAAAAGCTGAACATTATTTCTAAATTTAAATTAATTATTTAAGGATTATGGAAATACATGCAATTGTTTGTTATATTTTAAATATTTATTTTTAATATTTTCAACTTTAGATATACAGTATTGCAATTAACGATATCTATTTAATGGTATATAGAATAATTTAATTATATAGGGATATCTTGATATATAATAACTGACGACTTCACTTTTTTGTAATTTCTAATTCAGCATTTAGAGTGTTAAATGAGGGGACAGTTTATTAGGGAGCAGAGATTGGGGGAATACGGGGACCGAGCCCACGAACTTCCGTCGAGGAATTATTAAAATGTACGTTACTTTAAAAAATTCAATTTTAAGTAATTTTGAGAATCTTTCAATTATTATTTATTAAATATATAAATTTGCGAATGTTAGAAGGCTAGAATTCATAATTCTTCCCTCTTAAAATTTCAAATACCTAGTCAAAAATATAGTCAAAAAATTTTTGAAAAATCCAAAAAATTTGTCTGAAACCCCATTTCAAAATTCCTTAGTCATTAAATAAATGTAAATTAAAAAATATTTTTAATAGATAGCAAATTCAGTTTTCTTTACTATGGACAGTTTACTTCTTTCAATGTTTTTTATTTATCCAACCGAAAGAAAAGAAAATAAACAAAAATATAAATTATTAAAAGTTAAAAATTATTTAACTAGATATATTTAATTAAATATTTTTCTGGATAATATAAAATATTTTTCATTTATTTAATTTTGGAAAAACCTGTTGTATTAAATAATTTGGTGCTTAGGTAGTCTCTAATAAGATAATAAATCGAACCCTGAACCTCAATAAGAAATTTAAATATTTTTAATTAGAGTAGAGCTTTCGGGATTCGGGTCGGGGTTTTTGACAAGAAATTTGTCGGGGGTTGGGTTGTGTTTCGGAGAACGCTATCCTATTTTAAACAATATTGAAGAAAAATATTTGTGAATATTTTGGAAATAATTTTAAATAATTTTTACTATCAATAATTTACAAAAATTTATAAAAAAAATTTAGCAATCAGCCTGTAAATTTTGTAAAATAATTAATTAATTTATTTATTAAAAATATTTATTTATACTTACAACAAAATACATACATATCCTGTCATAAATTCCCACAAAACAACATTAACACAAAAATTAAACAAAAAATATTTAATATTAAAGTTTATAATAACATTTATTACGGGAATAAATTTATTTTAGTTTTTTTATTTAAAAAAATATTTTTGAATATTTTCTAAATTCTTATAGAATTTGCAAATTTTTAATTGTCAAAATCTACAAAAATTAAAAAAATTTTTAATTTTTAATTAATTTCCGTAAAATATTTAAACAAAATTATGTAAAAACCAAAAATAAATTTACAGTTTTTTAATATAAAATAAAATATTCAAAATTTTAAATAATTTAAATGTCTAATTATAATTTTAAGAATTTTTTTAAATTTATTTTAATAAATGCTTGGAATCTAAAAAATTATTTCCACAATTTTTTCTAAATAAATTTATTATTAATTATTACCAAATTAGTGAACAAAAAAATTTTATTATTTAGAATAATTTCGACTAAAATTTTTTAGGTAATTTAATTAAATATTAATATTTTTAGCTTTATTAATTAAATTTAATTTTCCAAATAATTCCTTTTCACCTTAATTTACAAGAAAATTTTCATATTCTTTCAAAAATAAAATTTAATAAAATTTTAAAACTAAAAATAGCAAACATCTGCTAATCTACTTGGAAATTTATTCGTTAAAAAAAATTAAAATATTTAAAAAAGAATTTTTTAAACATTTTTTAACATTTAAAATATTATTTCCTTAAATTAAAATTAGAAAAAAAATTTTTTTATTAAAATGTATGAACAAAATCATCATAACCAAACGGTTTATTTTATTAAAAATTTCCATACTAAATTAGTAAATTTAAATTTAAGTTATTTGATATTTATGGAGAGCAAGGACTTCCTATAGAATTAATTATTTTAAATGTTTTGAGGACAATAATTGCAACTATGGGGATTTTGTTTAATAGTACCTTGGTTTTTGTTACAGCAAAAAGCAAGTTAGTAATTTATTAAATAAGATCTGGATCACATTATAATTTTTGAAGATATATTTATAAAAGAAATTTAAAAATTAATAAAAGGAAAAAGTTGAGAATTTTCAAAAAAATTATTCACTAATCCAAAGTACAGGGTGACAAAATAGTAACCGGGCACTTTATTTTTGGCATAACTTTTTTCAATTAAAGATAATGAGATCAAATAAGAATGAAATTATAGAGAAATAAATTGAGAATAAAATATAAAAATCTTTTAGAATTTTTCCTATTCTACTTTGAGATAAGGTTCAAGGAAAGTGAGAAAAATTATTGCTCCAGGTCGCACCTTTTTTTGAGACATTTTGCCTATAACATTAGAATAGATTGCAGGAATTAGACAAAATTTTTTCTGGCATCTAGAGCAGTCCTTTATCTATAGAAATTACTAAGCAAAAAATTTTTTGGATTAACGCTTAAAGAGATATTCGATTGCGCGTAACCCTCCGAAAATGAGAAAATCGCATTCCCCCCAAAACTGATTTACATATACTCATAGCCATCCATGTAGGAGTTGGAATTTTCATCATCCAGATTTGTCCGGTTCGCTAATGATCTCAATTAAATTCTGCTGAGATCATCCCGTTTGGACTTCTCCTTTCTGAGATACAGAAACTAAAATTTTAGGGGGAAAATTTTGATATGGTGTACCTAAAATTACAAACTTTCTTAATCTTTAATCAAAAATTTTTTAATTTTACTATATGATTGAGAAATAAATGGGCTACAAAATAAACTTGGATTTTCTAAAAATTATATGAACAAAAAAAGTTATAAAGGATAAAAAAGTGCCCGGTTATTTTTTTGTCACCCTGTAATCAAATATTTGCTAAATAGGAGAAATCTTTTTATAACTTTTTGCTGTTGAAAAAATAACTTGACGCGAAGCTCGGGGTTTTGAAACCAAAAATCTCGGGGTTAAATCTATATATTCTTAATTTTCTCACAAAAAAGGAAACTCAACTCTCCTTGTCATCTCCTAATAGCTTTTGAATGCCTTGTGTCTGGATGGTACCAATTAGGTAGTTGGGCCTCGATTACTGTGTTATTTGGTGCAGGCCATCAATTTATCCCTATACGTCCCTGTTGTCTTCAAATAATTCCCCCATTTATATTTGGATTTACATCTTCATTTACTTGTATTTATTTAATATCTTTGGATAGATTAATTGGTGTTTTATTTCCTATATGGTTTGTTTTTAATTGTAATTTTGAAATTAAATTTAAATAATATTAAATTTCAAGGTATAGTCAGAGAGAAAATTCAAAGAAAACCCATATTCTATTAATGATAGTTTCCACATTAATTTGTGGTACAATCTTTGTCTACACAGATTATAATATTGTCTATACAATTTCTGAAACTATGTATGCTTATTAAAATAATAATTTTGTAGGGACGGATGATGCCAGGTTTGCGGTTTTAGTAGGTTGTAGGGAAATACTGGAGGCAAAAATTTGAATTGTCACGGCGAGTTGTGTTTTATGATAATACTACTTCGAAAAAACTTATATGTATGTAGTAGCATAGCAGTGGCAACATATGTAGTAGCAACAGCAGTGGCAACATAATTTAATTTTTTCCCTGTTAGCTAGGCTGTCGGGCATTAATTTTTTAATTCGAAATATTATCTTGCATATGTCAAATCCGAAGATTTTTAATTTGTTAAATTTATTTAAGTTAATCATTATTAATTTTAGTCAAGTAGTTTGCGTCCCTCACGAATGTTTCTGGGGATGGGCAGCAGATTTGGTTTATATGTTCTTCGCAATATTTGTTGTTTTATCTTTTATAAATTATGTTTTTGTTTGGATTGTACTTAGATATCGCTCAACAAAAAACACTAACAACAATTTATGTAAATAATTATCAAAAATTTTATAAATCTGTTAAAATAGCTGTAAAATTTTTTTCCTAATTATTTCAACCAAAGCTTTAGACAAGTGACATTTAATCGTTTCAATAACATTTATAGAAATACATATATGTAGTTGAAATCCACACGAATGTCGGAAATTTCAACAGAGATTTTTCCTGGCCCACTCTACAAATTAAATTTCTTTAGTGAAATATAACAATTGTATTTTGAAAAGCCAAATAAGTGAAAAAACGGAGGAATGTTACCAAAATTAATTTAAAAATTTTTAATTTTTAAATTTAAATTAAGCTTCTTCGTATGCATGGTCCCAGCGTATTTTGAAAACATTGTGTGTAATTATGTTTTTTAATTTTGTTGGCCTTTCAATGAATAGTATTTTACGTTTAACCCTTCCCCGCTTGAATTTGAACATCACACAGAGGGCAATAGCAATGCATTCTTTGAGTTGTTTAACTGTTACAGTTATGTCTTCGAATGCTCCTATTCTCTTTATTCACAAGTTTGTACTTAATTATATAATTAGAAATCTGGCAATTTTTCCACTTTAAAAATCCTTAGGGGCATAGAAAAGCTACGAGTAATCGGAAATGAAGGAACTAATTCTTCGAAATAAGAAAGAATCGGGATAATAAATCTCGGAAGTTCCGACCAACAGGAGGTCTCTCTATATAGGTCTCTCTATCAAATAAAAATTAATTTAATTAAATTTTAGTAAAGAATATAGAAATGCTTTTTTGTCAGCATTCAAAATTAAAAATACAACAATCAAAACAACAGCAAAAGTGACAACAGTTAATAGTTTAAAAAATCCAAATTTAATTCAAAATAAAAATGTTATTAATAATAAAGGGATTATTCCTGTAAATTGAATGAACGATTTTATATTTTAAAAATTATTCTATTATACTTAAATTTTGTATTTAAATTTTCATTAAAAATTAAAAAAATATCAAACGGGGAAAATCGAATTTTTGATTAAAAAATGAGTGGAAACTTTGAAAATTGAAAGATAACAAGTCTGCCTTTAAATTTTTTTGACGAGAAAATAAATTTTTATTAAAAAATTTTATTTGTCTTGTTTCTTATTTTTGTTTAATTTCATAAAACATTTAACAATACAAGAGAGAGTGAGGAACTGGTGAAAGTTGTACAAACATATTTGACAACAATTTAATTATTCTTTAAATAATAAATTTTTAAATTATTTATCTTAATATTAAAAATAATTATTTAATTTATAAAATCATCTCATCATTAAAAATCTAAGAGTACCCTGAATTTAAATTTAATTTAAAATTTTAAATATAATCGATGGATTTTTTTTATTAAAACTCATGCTTAAAAAACTGAAATTTTATGATAAATTTTAAATTATTAAAAAATTATTTTGATAAATTTACGGTCCACTTGTTCCAGTAAATTTATTTGCTTGACTGAATTTCTCTTTTATGGATATAAGGTGTGTTTATTTTTTAAAATTATTAAAATTTATATTTAAATAAAATGTAAGAAAATTACATACCTACATATAGGATATATTTTTTAAATTTTTTAAAAACAAAATTATTTTTAATAAAATACCTATTGAATGAATTTATTTTTTATTTTAATTATTTTATTTTTTAATAAAAAATTAATAAATTGTTTAAGTTGTTATGGTATTTTTAATAATTTTATTCAAAAATTATAAAAAATAGTTACATATTTTAGCTTGTCACTTTGCCTACACAAATTCTTTAGAAGCATTCAGAATTTCAGAAGATGGTTGGTGTGTGAATGATACTTTACTTGTAATTGGAAAGGATGAAGTTATTAGACCAGTAAATTAATTAAATTTTAATTTTTTAATTAATTTAAAAAATAATTTAGAATATAAATTCAAAATATTATTTTTAATAGGAAAGGCAGGTAAATTAAGCTGGCTAAAAGTTTTTAAGAATTTTTAGAGGATATTCGGTCAATCAGTCTTAGTCTTGCACTCCGCCAACTATACTTAACCTATTACTACTATAACATCCCTTTCTTTTTATTGATTGATTATCGCCCCGCCCCTGAAGAGACGGGCAGGGAAAATAAGAATGACGTAATCCAATACCTTTCGTCATCCGACAAAACGCCATTACGACAAAATGCCACGCGACAACTTGCCACGCGACAACTTGCCACGCGACAAATTGCCACGCGACAATTTGCCACGCGACAAATTGCCACGCGACAATTTGCCACGCGACAAAATGCCACGCGACAAAATGCCACGCGACAATTTGCCACGCGACAAATTGCCACGCGACAAAATGCCAAATGACAAAATGCCCATATGACAAAACGCCATTTTTAAAAATAATTAAATTCCCAGTGGCGGAGTCGATCCTGTGACTCCTAGCCTATAGGCGGAGACACTACCGACTCCGCCACTGGGAAGCTTAATTAATTTAATTTATATTTAAACTTAAACCCTTTAAGCTAAGCGACCGGGATGGTTCAGGGCCCGGTTTACAGTGCGGACGGTTAAGCGCCGTTTAAAAATGTTAATGTTAAAAATATCAAGTTAAAATATTAAGTAAAAAATGGCAAGGTAATGATTTCATAAAAATATCAAGTCATTAATTGACAGGGCATTCAGATCCAATGGGTAAATTATAATGAGTAATTGATCTTGGTAGCCCAACCAGGGGTATATCTTTAATATTTTCTGTGATGGCATTTTCTTGAGTGGGAGTAATTAAACCTCTATTGCGCAATAATCTAAGAATTAAAACCCAGCATAGAAGAATCATAGGTATTAACAGTGAATAAATCAATAAAAATAAAAGAATATCATAAGCTACAATCTTATTAGATCCCTTAAAATTTTCATCAAGATTTAAAGCGAAAGTTATATTATCAGAAATATCAGAGTAATTTTGCATTTTAAATGCCTGTATGATTTTAATAACCAATTATTTATACAAATTTTTAACCAAGATTGGAATCCGAAACGATATGCCGATTATAATCTATCATTAACATTTGATCAAATTCTCCCAAGATAATCATTTCAACTCCACCAGAAGGAATGGGAGAATTAAATTCTAAACGAATACTTGTAGTACCACTTCTAAGCAGCTCAAACCCACAAGAGTCGTCAAGTGTTGAAGTCAAAGGTATTACAAAAAATGTCCACCCATTTTTGTATCGGGACATTGGAATATCAATGGACCGATCAGAGTTAGCCATCCCCAATGCTTCGTACATGTCAACGAAAGCTCGAACAAAAAGATCTTTTTCAAATTTTAGTTTATAAGCAACCATGGGATAAATATGTCCTCCAGTATGAACTGAGATTTCTCGCAAATCAAATGGTTTAAAGTTAAATGGGGAAAGAGCAATGTCCCCATTAAATGCCTTGTTTGACACCAAAGCAACCGTGACTCTTCTCGGTATTGTAGCGCTAAAAGCATTATATTCAATTTCTGTGCGCCCCGCGGTTAAAAAGGTCGATTTCATTTCAGTTCTTCGCAGAGCATATGTAGCAGGCTTTGATTCAAGCGTTTTATAAATGTTCATATTGAGAGATGGCTGTACCTCAATCATTTTAGAAAAAAGTTTAACGTCATGAACATAAAGCCTATATTCGTTTTTATCATCGGCTTTAAGCTTATGTAAAACAAATGAATTTTTGCTTCTATAGATGCTAAAGTTTATATCTAAGTTATTAAGTAAAAATAATTCCTGGTTTCCCAAATCAAAATCTAATCGTGAAAGAAACTGAGATCTTTTACCCCCAGCAAATAGCGAACATCGATTTATAAATCCTGAATCAAAAGCATCATCATGCTTTTCGCTTTTATAGTACCCTACTGATGCAAGAAAATTAGACTTAACATTGTCAGGAAATGATAACTCATTGGTTATATATGCTTTATATGGATAAAGAGTACCACTATCGTAAATTTCAGTATTACCAACATTAACTTTTAGTTGTTGAACGAATGTTTGCCCGATACCTTGAATGGTTCCTATATTTGTATCTTTAGTCGAATCAATATCTTCCCATTTACCATTTTCACCAAGCTTTTCAATAGAAAGTTCAAGATAAAGATAAGTCCTGGAAAGGTCAGTCCAGAGATTATCACTGAACAAACGAAACAAATAAGGCGAATCCTGTGTTATTGTGCTAAGAGGAAGAATCTCTCGAAAAAATGAGCGAATAACAGAAACATTAGTAGGAGGAACGGAAAAAATATTCAGGGCACTATTTAAGGCCAAAGGACTATTTTCATTAATTTGTTTTGGACAACTCATGTTAGTATGTGCCTAAAGTATCTACTCGTAAACGTTTGTTAGCGTGAATTTTTCTAGGTGATTTTTTCGAAGGTTTCCTAACAAGATTAGGAATAAAATTAGGAGGGCTAATACGGGAATATGCCCGCTTATTTATAGTATTAGGCTTTATATCATTTTTTTCATCATTCATTTGACCAAGGGATGGATGCTTTTCAATATTCTTGTAGCGCTTAAAATCAAATCCTTTGCCTGTTTGTTTATCAACGTTATCGGCCGCTTTCTGTAGTAAATTTTTCAACCCCGATTTGCCTTCATTAATTAGAGATTCTTTCAGATTCTTTCCTTCGAGAACATTACTTAAAACTTTATTGCCCGATTCTAGTCCTTGTTTACCTATGGCACTACCAATTTCTTTGCCGATAGGTATAAGATAACGGAGAAAGCTCCTAAATACTGAACCTAATCCACTTCCTCTTTGGTAGGGAACACCGCGAAACACGTTATACCCACCCCATTGATTAGGCTGCTCGGTCAATGCTGACCAGTTAATATGTGAGGGATCAAAGTCGATATGCATTTCAAGTTGAAAATAAATATTTTTAATCTAACTATGTATATTAAATATCTTTGATGCAATAAATTCTGTTACAAACTTATCAGCATTTATATTTTTAAGAAATGAAATTATTTCATTCATGTGAAAACCGGAACAGCGCATATAGAGATAAAATATTGCATGGTGGCCACACGAGCGCGAAAACATACCCTGAAGTTTAATGGAATTAAATCGAACCCTTTGAAATTTTTCTAAATAATCTCGAATATGGGAGCTCATCGGCGGCCATATTCCCAACGAATCGTAGTATTCAATAGTTTTAACGGAATCACAAAATATGGCTACCCAGTGTGTTCCAGGTGAATTATTAGGATCTATGTTAATTACCGCACAGAAAGGTGAATAGGTTGACTTAGAAGGGATACAGTTAGAGGGATAACAACCGATATAATATTTTTTGGTAACAGAATTTCTGTTTAACATTTTATCAATCTGAATAGTATTCATTATTAAAAGTAAGTAGACTTTTTAAAGTGTAATGTTAATGTACATGTTCCATACTGAAAAGGCATCAAGGACCCGCTAGTTGTGCGAATTTCAATTAAAATTTCAGAAATTTCTTTTACAAGCAACTTATGATATTGAATAGAAAGAAATTGTTCCTCAATTATTTCGTCTTGATTTCCCCGAATGGTTACAATACGGAGAACCGGAGCGGTAATATCC